CCATCTCTGGAGATCTGAATGTGGTTCAGGCTTCCACCTATAGTCCCATGTATTGCAGAGGCTCCTCAGGAAGCCTCCTTCACTGGGCACATTGTAGCCCCATTTTAGGTATTCCAATCAGTTATAGGCAGAAGACAGACTTACAATCTTTCTATGGTGATGCTTTTCTATTCCTTTCTCGCCCCCTCCAGTGTCTATTTTATAATATAATGCAAGGAAAACCAAGATTCAAAAGACGGCCAAGCATCTTAATATTATTCCCCCCTTTTCCACATTCCAACCATAGCTCGATCTCTGTATCCCAGAACCCTGTTGTTCTCAAATTGTGCATATAGACATTCTTTTCTAATATGGTTCAGCACTCAGCTGCTAACCAAAAGGTCATTGGTTCAAATCCACCAACTGCTGCACAGGTGAAATATGTGGCTGTTGATTTCTGATGATGACAGTCTAGAAACCCTTATGGAGCAGTTCTGCCTTTCTCTCTAGGGTTGCTGGGAAGTGGAATGGGAGCTATAGTAACCAATGTTACTTGATTCAAAGATGACTTGTGGTGGGGGGTGGATAGTTAGGGTTCCAGGTTTAAAGATTTCCCTAGGGTAATAGTTGGGGGTTCTGATTTTTTGTTCCATCTTGTTGGGGGGTCTTCTTTTTCTCTTTCCCCCGCCCCCTTCCCTGTCACCCAAGTCAGCATGTTTCTACAGTCTACTGGTTCCATGAATTGGAATGGAATCCACGGCTGACTTTTTGAAAGTCGTCTCCAGACCTTTCTTCCAAGGTGCCTCTGGGTGGATTCAAACCTCCAACCCTTCAGTTAGGAGAGCATGCTAACCATTCGGACCACCCAGGGACACCCCTATAGTCTTGTTGTTGTTATAAAGTGCCGTTGAGTCAGTTCTGGCTCATGCAGACCTGTATAGGATTTCTGAGAAGTGGCTGGTGGGGTTGAACTGCCAATTTTGTGGTTAGCAGTCAAGTGCTTATCCTACAACGCCATACCAGGACTTTGCCAAAACTGCACAAAGTTGTTCCCTACTGGGCTTCACCATTCTGCTCTTACTTTCCCTCACCCCTACCTTGAGTTCTTTCTACTCACAAATGCTCCCCCTTGCTCTAGGCTCTCCACTGGGACCATTCCAGCATCCACCCTTCCTTCACTTAGGATGCCAGCAGGAACCTTCCACACTCAACCCAGCAGTTCCCACCCGGGTCTATTCTGCCCCCACTCCCCAGGAGACACTTACCAAGGAATTGTCAAAGATTTCTTAGAGCCATAATCAACATCCACAGAAACAGCGATCAAAAATCAGATAATGAAGTATTGCATTGGGCAAATCGGCTGCAAAAGACCTCTTTCGTGTGTTCAAAAGCAAAGATACCACTTTAAGGACCTGCTCCTGACCCAAGCCATGGTATTTTCAATCACCTCATATACATGAGAAACTGGACAGTGAAGAAGGAAGACCAAAGAATAATTGACACTTTTGAAATAGGGTGTTGGCGAAGAAGATTCAATATGCCATGAACTGCCAAACAAACAAACAAATCCGTGTTGGAAGAAGGTCAGCCAGAATGCTCCTTAGAAGTTAGGATGGCTAGACTTCGTCTTGTCATGTTTTCAAGAGGGACCAGTCCCTGGAGAAGGACATCTTGCTTGGAAAAGTAGGTCAGTGAAAAAGAGGAAGACCCTCAATGAGATTGAATTGATACAGTGGCTGCAGTGGTGGGGTCAGACATAGCAATGATTATGTAGAATCTGACTCAGAGACCCAGTAGAGGGTTTCTGAGGAATGGCTGCTGGATTTGAACCAGTGACCTTGAGGTGAGCAGTCCAGTGTTTGTCCTACAGAGTCTTACCAGGAGCCCCTGAAATTATTACCCTGAGGAAATCTTTAAACCTTGAACTCACTAACTGATTTGCAGGAGAAAAGACCTGCAATTGGCTAACCAAAAGATAGATGACAGTCTAGAAAACCTACCAGGCAGTCCTATTCTGTCACATGGGGGCGCCATGAAGTGGCCTGGACTCATGGGTATGGCCTCTGGTTTTTGTTACTGTCTTGAAATTCTTCATTTTTTCACTAGAGACCTTGAATTTTCATTGAGTCCTTCTTGTTGTTAAGTAACATGGAGTCGATTCCGACTCATAGCGACCCCATACAGGGTTTCCGGGCTGTAAATCTTTATGGGAGCAGAAAGCCTCATCTTTCTCCCACAGAACAGCTGGTAGTTTCGAACTACCGACCTTGAGGTTAGCAGCCCGATTCGTAACCACTAAGCCACCAGAGCTCTTTTTCATTGAGTCCTGAGTCCTGCAAATTATAACCATAGCTAGCTCTAACCAGTATGATTTCTGGAATCTCTTTATTACAGAACCCAACATGAATATCAAAGAACTTTACAAAAATTTGTTGGATTTCTCTTATAGTGTCAGAAACTTACATCCTGATCTCAGCTCTCTCAGATCCTGTCTTTAAAAAGTGTTGATATTGTGCTCATCATAGATTTCTTGACATTGCTTTTTTTTTTTTTAATATTGCATTGAAGTTATTATTCATCTTGACGACCAAGATTTTTGTTAAGAGCAGGCAGTATTCCATTAAAGTTTGCATATGAACGTCACCCTAGCCCTGGCCCCTTAGCTGTCCAGGAAGGAGATTGATTCAGATGTTCCATTTTACAGATGGGAACACTCAGAGTTTCACACATGGGGGAGAACCACCTACATAGATGATGATCAAGATGATGATGTCTCTAGTACTTTCCAGGAACCAAGCTTAAGATACCTGGGTGGTACTCAACCAAAAGGTTGTCGGTTTCAACCCAGGAAGAAAGAGCTGATCATCTGTTTTCAATAAAGGTGACAGTCAAGAAAGGCCTATGAAGCCCAGTTCTAATCTGTAAAACATGAGGAATCAATAGCAACAGATTTCTTTAATTTACTTAGAGATCGATCTTAATGTGTGCATTGTGTGGTGCTATAGGTAAGTACTGGAGACTGGTAACTGTAAGGTCAGTTGATCAAACCCACCAGCTGCTCTCAGAAACCCTATGCTGGGTTACTATGAGTCAGAAGTGACTCAACAGCATTAACCAAACAATAGCTCAACAGAATTTGAAGGAGCTCTGGTAGCGTAGTGGTTACAAATTGGGCTGTGAACCTTAAGGTCAGCGGTTCGAAACTACCAGCCACTCCGTGGGAGAAATCCTATATAGGCTATGGGTTGGAATTGACTTGATAGCACTTAACAACATTCTTGTGGCAGCTAGAGGAATATTGTCAAAACCCAAGGCAAGTCCCCTTCCTCCCTGTCTCATCTGCCTATAACCCTGCAGTACTCCCACCTCCCTCAAATAAAAGCCCAAGTCCTCCCCTCTCTTTATGACCCGCAGAGCCTAAGAGTCGGTAGTTTAAACCCACCAATCTCTCCACAGGAGAAATAAGTGGCAGTCTGCTTCTGTAAAAATGTACAGACTTGGAAATCCTATGGGGCAGTTCTACTCTGTCCTATGAGTCTAAATCCACTCCACAGCAACGAGTTTGTTTTGTTTTGTTGGTCTTGTTTTATTTTTTGAAATGCAAAGCAAAACTGAAGATCTCCAGGTTTAAAGATGATTGGTGGCTGGTGGTTATGTGCCGTGGAGCCGGTTCCGACTCACAGCGACCCTGTACAGGGTTTCCAAGGCTGTAAATCTTTACCGGAGCAGAAAGCCTCATCTTTCTCATGGGGAACAGCTGACAGTTTCAAACTGCTGACCTTGCAGTTCGCAGCCCGATTCATAACCACTACGCTACCAGAGCTCCTTATACATTTTTTAATGGCCACAGCCAAGCACTGAGCCAAGGGGGCACACAGTAAGCATAACACCCTATGCGACAGCGGGATGCTACATGCTCCCAGGCTCCTCCTGTGTCCGCACAATCCTACCTACCTCAGGACCTTTGCTGCATCACCCTCCTGAGTATATCCCACCCCCATTCCCCTTTTGGCTCTTTCTCAAATGACTCCCTGGTTAAAACTGCATTCTCTAGGGCCATCTGACCCACTAGGGATATGGTTTCAGAATTTGTTTGCTATCTATCTCTTGTCATCTTTAGGAAGACATTTGAGCCCAACCCCAGAGCCTGGAGCAGAGCACATACCCAGTTGTTGTTGGTGGTGTTGTAGAGTTGTTTATGAACGCATGGTGCTCTCATGTGACAGAGGAAAACTGCCCCATAGCGTTTCCTAAACTGTCGTTTTTTATGGGAGCAGATCGCCAGGACTTTCTCCCGCAGAACAGCTGAATAGTTTCCAACTGCCAACTTTTAATCATTGCACAACCAGGGCTCCTTGGCACACAGTAGGCGCCCCATAAATGCTCACTGAAGCAATGGTTTATTAGTGGCAGGATTTACATTGCCTTTCCACACTTAGACGAGGAAACTGAGGCTTACAGACACCCATCACCATGCCAAGGTCACAGAGCATGTGGGTGGCACGCTTCCAGGGCACGCCATGATAGCGCCCGCGGTGTAGACCCAGGCAGCCTGGCTCCTTCTTCTGACAGATGGGGATATTGAGGCCAGGCGAGCGGCCACGGCCAGGGGGCCAGGAGGGGGCCGGGGGCTGCGGC